TAATTTTAAGTTTGGCGGTCTGCAGGCGAAAAATCGCTTTTCTACAAAAATTGCTCTAAAATACCTAAATTGACTCCCACTCAAAAACAGAGGTTGCCACGTTGATCAGCGTAGTCGATAACCTATGGTAAATATTCTGCCAAATTAGGATTATTTTCAGGGTTCTGACTTCAAATATGTGTAGGAAATGAATGAAAGCGAAAGCTAAAAATCACTACGGACAAATTTTAGATTTAGGGGTATAAAATTTCAAAAATTCTTTCGTTCATCCCATGTAGAATTTGATTCTGAGCAACTTTTCTTTCAAAATGCTGATATCGTGCAAAAATTATCGGAGGATGATAATGAATGTAAACTGGTCGCCCATTTTCACGGTCAACCACATTCAGATCTTGATACTGTTCCTGTTCATCTTGTATCAATTGTTCTGTATATGACTGTAGATATTTTTCCCATGTGTGTGCAAACTTTTCTCCAATATCTAATTTTGACCAATTGTTTTTAATCGCCACTTGAAGTCGAGTAACAGAAAAACAGTCATGGCTAGCATATTGTGTCATTCCTGATTTTACTTCAGCTGGTGGTACAAAATCATGATACTGTCGATAAGAAGAATTTCGTATATCAAGACCACATGACCATTTTGATAATTGATATCTTTTGTCCAACGACTGATTCAATATTATTCTTACAGCGTCTTGAAGTGACCATGTGTTACCCGATTCTTGTGTTTTCGATGTTTACGAATACATTTCATATAATCTGCTTGTTTAATATCATTCAAATGTGTAGTGGGCACTTTGTTTCCCAAGAAAACATATTCATCTAATAAATTATCTTCATCGTCCTTCTGCATTTGACATTCCGGTGTATGAGGATATTGTCGATTGTACCATTTTTTAAAATGATATTGAACATCATAGATGACTGGTAATTCACTGTATTCAAATAAGCCCAATATGTCAAAAGTTTTCAATTCCTTGTACAAATTACTCCAGGAATAAATCGGTTTGTTCTTGTTCAATATGTTTGTCAATAGGTCGCGAATTAACTTGTGTTCCTTTGTGCCCGTATATGGTAATTGTTTTGTTTCAATTAATATTATTTGTTCCTTGCCCACCGTAGTCACGGGTTGTATTTGAATCAGCGATGGTTCACCCTCACCCTCACCAGTACGATGATCTGTTTCCGTGTCAATTGTAAACTGTTGTGTGTCCCGAACATAAGGAATCATTTCCAACAGATAAGATTTTAATGTTTGAGTATTAATATAGTGAGTGATGTATGATGTTGATGGTAATTTAAAT